CGCCGCAGCCGCGGAACCGGCCGCTGTGCCCGCAGGCTGCTGGCTGCCGCCGCCCGCGCCCCGCGAGCTGCTCTACCGCGGCGCGCTGCGCAGGGAGCTCCGCGCGCGCAGGGCCGCGGCCGCGCTCGACTTCGCCAAGCAGGTGAGCGGAGCGGGGCGCCGGGCGGCTCCGCGGAGCCTCGTGTGCCCGCAGTGCCCCCATGCCATCCCTTTGCTCCATCCCGCCCGCACAGCTCGGACACTTCTTTGTGGATCACCCGGAGGACGCGTTCGGCTCCCTGGGACAGCTGCTGCACAAGAACTTCTACCTGGGCAATGCCCCGCTGAGGGTCGGTGTCTTTTGGGGGGCTCCCGCACCGCGTCGCGCCCCGTCCCCTGCAACCGGCATCCCCACCTGTGTCCATGTGCCCCGTGCAGCGGCAGGCGCGGGACACCACCATCCGCATGACGGCCCTGGTGGAGGAGATCAACCGGCTGGAGGCCAGGCAGTAAGTGCCCCGCACGGGGCAGCCCGGGGAGCTGCTGTCCCCTGCGTCCCGATGGGGAGCTCGGGATCTGCGCACTCAGAGCCTGACGCCGTCCATGCCCGCAGCGGGTGTCCGCAGCAGCGCTGCGCCCCGCGCCTCCGCTGGTTCTCCCACCTGTGCCGCGAGTGGCTCTTTGAGGTGCCGCTGGGGCTGCTGGCGGGCTGCGTGCACGACGAGCTGGAGCGCCTCTGGGCCGGCCTGCTCTTCGACGACAGCGCCACGGGGGGAGCGCTCGCCTGGCTGCCCCCCGGTGACGTGGGTGCCCGCACCGGCCGCCTCGTCCACCCCGCGGGGCCCGCCATGAACCAGCTCTGTATCCTTGCGCCACGGTGCTGCCGGGCGTCCCCGGGGTGCGTTTTGTGCCGCGATGCCCTTAACCGCCCCCGCAGGTTTCCAGGACGTGGTGCTGGGTGAAGTGCCCCGCGCGCGGGGCTCCCCAGCGCGGTTCGAGCTCAATGGCCGCATCCGGCAGGTATCTGCTGCCCAGGTGGACGGGGAAGGTGAGTGAGGGCCGGGACAGTCCCCCCAGCGCGGGCAGCACGGGGGCACCCTCTGGTCTGGGCAGGGAGTGCGAGTGCCGGACTGCTCCATGGAGCCACCTCCTGCGTCCCGCTTCAGGCTTCGTCGGCGTGCGCTCCGACTATCACTGCGGCGTGTGGAGGGTGCCAGGCAGGCCGCGCGCTGCCCCTGCGGCGCTGCGCGTGATCCGCACCGACGTGCCCGCCTGCTGCCTCACTGCCAGGTAGGTGCACAGGGGGCGGTGGGCACAGGGGGGCTCCGTGCCTGCCCGCGTACCCGGCAGCTGCTTCCCGTGCCACTGTGCCGTCCCTCGCAGCCCACACGTCCCCGGCGAGCTGGCCGTCTGCACCGAGAGCGGAGCCGTCTACCTGTGGAGCGTCGAGACCGGGTGAGGCGCCGGCCCTGCAGCCGGGGGTGGCCCTGTGCCCTGCTCGGCACCTGGCCCGGCGGTGCCAGCGGTGCCATCTCCCCTAGCCTGCAGCAGCTCCGCCGGGACGCCCACACCATGTTTTTCCGGGAGCACTCGCCGTGGCGCTGGAGCGAGTTCACTGCCCACCCACGGGTGCTGAGCTGCGCCGACCGCACTGGCCTGCAGTGCCTGGACGCGCGGGTGAGCCCGGGAAGGGCCGCGGTGGCAGAGGCCTCACAGCCGTGGGTGCTCGGAGGCCTCGCGGCCCTGGGTGCTCACACATCCCGCTCTGCTCTTCCAGGCACCCACGCGATGCCACTTCGATTTCTTCAAGGTGGGCGAGGAAGCCGGGTGCCAACAGGGCGAGCGCGTGGTGCTGCCCGTGTACCTGGGTCGCGCTCACCCCTCGCAGCACCTTGTGGCCACCCAGGTGAGTCCCGAGGGTGGCGGGCGGGGAAGCGCCCGTGGGCCCCGCTGAGCTGTGCGTCCCGGCCCAGTTCGCAGTGTACGTGATGGACGAGCGCCTGCCGCTGGTGCCCGTGCTCAAGTGGGCGCATATGATGAAGGCCCCGCCGCTGTTTGCGCACGTGGTGCCGGGGGGCCAGGGCAGGAGCCATAAGATGCTCCTTGGCGCGTCGCACACGCAGGAGCTGCTGATGCTGCAGTACACTGGTGAGAGACGGGGCTGCGGGCCGGGCTGGGCGCCGCGCTGGGTTGCGGGGCCCTCGCTGGGGCCGCTGCGACGGGAGCAGGGCTCGCAGCAGCGTCCGCGTGTCCTGCCACAGGCGGCAGCGACTCGGCGTGCCGGCTCGCGGGGCCTCCGCAGAAGCTGCACAGCATGGTGGGCTGCGTGCAGCACCTGCCCGCGCAGCTCCCGCACCGCCACCGCCTGCTGCAGCAGCGCCTCGGCGCCCCGGCCAACGGTGCGTGCCCCGCGGCGCCGGCGCCTCCGGCCGGGAGACAGGGCTGGGGGACGGGGAGGCTGAGAGACGCAGGGCGGCACAGCCGGGCACATGGGTTTCCCCATGGGGATGGAGAGGCTCCGTGTGCAGGAGGCTAAAGACAGGACCAGAGGCAGCAGCACAAGTGACAGGCAGGGATCTTTTCATTAAACGTTAGGAAAATTATTTCCCCTAAGTGCAGTTAAATCCCTGGAGCAGGGTGCAAAGTGGGAGCCTCCATCCGAGGAGGCCTTCAGTCCTTGGTGTAGCCAGGGCCTAAGCAACCCGTGGGAGGCTGGCCCTGCTCCGTGGGTTTGGAGTGAGGCACGGCCATCCCTCCCATGTGTGACTGGTGCCCGTGTCCCCCCAGGGCTGGCGGCAGAGCTGCACGTGCAGGGGCAGCGCGAGTCCCTGCTGGTTTTCCAGCTCTCCGAGGCTGGGGACATCTTCTACCAAAGCCTGACGCATAAGGTGGAACAGCCTGGGGCTCCCGATGGGGAGGATGAGGATGCATCAGCCCCCAGGCCTTCCTCTGGGCCGGGGGCTCCGAGCGGGAGCGCTCCTGCCTCTCCACCTGGATCTGGGGGCGAGGAAGTGGAGGAGGAAGATGAAGCAGAGCAGGAGGAGGAGGAAGAGGAAGAGGATGAGGAGACCGAGACCTTCTACTTGTCCAACGTGGAGGTGATCGTCAATGAGGAAGATGAGGAGGAAGAGAAGGAGGCGGCCGCTCCAGCGGCGCAGGAGGAAGCCCAGCGCGCGGAGGAGCCGGACGCCAGCCCCGGTCCTGCTCTGGCCGTGCCCAGCGCGGCCGCCATCCTGCGCTACCGCCGCTGGCTGCGGGCGCTCTTCAGGGACGGGCAGGCTCCGGCGGGCGCCCGCGCGCCCACCACTGTCAGCCAGAAGCGGCTGTTCACGGCGCAGGAGCTGGCGCGCGCCGGCGCGCCCGGCGAGCTGCACGCGCGGGCGCGAGCGCGG